GCACTGTAGACCAAGGTCCAAGTGACACTGGGAGAATTGATAGAGATTCCTGTCTGTACACCCACAGAGCATTCAAAGCAAAGGGAGGATGAGCCAGGGCAGCCACCCTGTAGGGACCATCACAGCACAGTCCTCCAAGAGCGCAGGCCGGTCTGCCCGGTTCCTCACTGTTTTCTCCTCCTAGAACACAAAGTCTGCACAAACGCTACAACTTTGTAAAAATTCACAAGAGAACACTTTGTCAAATTGAAAATGACTTAAGAAAGAAAGAAAATATCATTAGACATTATGTAGAGAGGTGTCAAAACTCACAGGCAGCTGTTTTCCTATGTTAATCCAAGACTGTCACACATCAACTTCTTTCTTATTTCAAGATTTTTTTATATTTATTGGAAAGGCAGATTGGTAGAGAGAAAGATCTTCTATTTGCTAATTCACTCCCCAAATGGCCACAACAGCTGGAGTTGAGCCAATCTGAAGCCAGAAGCCAGGAGCTTCTTTTGAGTCTCCATGTTGGTACAGGGTCCCAAGCACCTGGGCCATCCTTTGCTGTTTTCCAGGCCATAGCAGAAAGTGAATTGGAAGTATAGTAGTTGGGACACAAATTGGCGCCTATTTGGGATGCCAACACTTCCAGTAGAGGATTAGACTGTTGAACCAACATGCCAGCTCTCAGACAAGAAAACACAAACTTCTTTTTTTTTTATTTCTTATACCGCAGATGTTAATGTAAGGGAAATGGTGGTGACGGTCCAGCTGATTTCATCATCTATATTTTTTTCACATTTCACTCTTAATTAGGTTTGAAAAGCTGACATTGTGTTAGACCTAGTCACACACAAAAAATTATTGTTATATTGGCAAGAGGAGTTTTATTATTTAATCATCACATATGAAAAGATTGTGGGAAGACAGAGAAGTGTCACATTAGACAAGCATCACTCCATGGATGACCACTACAGGTCTCTACGCTAGCATGACTACAGCTGCAAAATAGACATATTTATAAATACTTAGCTCCCGACTCCAGGCCTATGGGCAAGACTTCTGTAGGCTAGCTTTGTCCTCACGTTCCGTAACCAAGTTCCTAAACCCTCTCTCCCAGAATCAGCTTCAGCTAATTCAAACAGTGCAGGTTTTTCAGCTCTAAGACCCAAACAAGCATGGAAGTTAGTTTCAGTCCCCAAAGGCATAGCATCCTTGGAAATGCATGCCAAGCATGGCTTCAGTGGCCCCTAGGTATTAACTGCATTGCATGTGGCGGTACAAGCCCCAAATATATTCATGCAACTCAGTGTAAGGAGGGAGGACATCTCCCCCTGGATCTCCGCCTGCCTAGCTCATTTGGGAGGCCATAGGCATATGGCACACCGTGTCCTTAACTAACTGAGGTCCCAACATGGCCTGTTCACTGGGCATGAATCAAGAGTGCTGGGCTGCACTCCAGTCTCTCTTCTGTGCCCTTTAACAAGCTGTGCTAAGACTTCCTTGTAAACAACTCTAGGAAGTCAAATGTTACATTCATCCTGCTTTTCAGTGGGTAACAAGTTTGTGCTGGGACACACAGCCTTCCTGTACTTCCTGTGTTTCCTGAACTTTTCCTTCATTGGAAGGTCCAGAGAGACAGACATCCGTGTTAGCCAGTCACAATGTCGTTGGCAGGAAGTATTGCCAGGACCAGCCTTCTCCTATACAAGCTTGTGACTTCCTCAAATATACGGACACCCTTCACCACCAGTTTGTCTCCAGTGTTTCTGATGCAGAAGAATGCTGCCATCTCCCCCATCGGTGCTCTTGGGGCCTGCGAGACAAAAGACCCCTGAAATGTGTGCATTTGAGTGTGTGTGTGTGTGTGTGACTCAGGTGAGACACAGGTGAGCTTCCTCTGGTTCACTTGGGACTTTTGAAATGACGATACCACTAGACACAAAAAGTGAAGTGTAAAAAGCCACCAGGAATATTGCTAGAGCTGGGCAAATTATTCCTGGTCTGGAGCACCCAAGATCTAGACAAGCCTACAGGGAGTCCTTAAGGGGTTCTGAACTGACAGGAAATCCTACATGCAGGTGTAGAAGGTAAATTCTGAGACTCCAGATCTCACCTCATGCATAGCACTCAAACCACATGCTTGAAAAAGCACTTGTGCAAAACCATCCCTACTCCTGTGTGTCGGGATGATACAAATGACTTTTCACCTGTAAATGACTGCCTCCATTCCTATGGACTCCATCGCTACGGATCCAGTTCTAGAAACTGACCACAGAACCCCAAACTCCCATGAGCCAGTAGATGGGACAAGGAATAGGGCTGAAGAGGAAAGGCTATTCCAGATGGCCAGCTTCCATGACCAGGACCATGCCAGGGGTCACAGGTGAGAGTGGTAACATTTTCTTTAACAGCATGAGCTACTTACTCTATACTAACTTCCTATGCAGGGCCCCTATTTTCCAAGAGCTGTATTATCATATGAGTACATGGTATTGACCAGTTAGCTTATGATTGTGTAGAAACAGTAAAGCAGGTATATTCTAGTGTTATGGGGTACAGCCATTGATGGCTCATACCTGCTTGACAGCACACAGGGCGTGGAAGCTTTCCACACCCCACCCTTTCTGCATCCACTCCTGCGATTCAAATTAAGTGAAGGAGCGACAAGTGCACTCTACTCCTCCTTCTGCACCATTCAGAACAAGTGACAGCACAAAACTTACTCGGGAGGTTTCCGTTCACCCGGCCCCTCCTGCCTCCTGCAGGTTAGTTAACTGTAACTTTGGGCTCTGGTAACTCCCTGTCAGCCTGAAACTTTGTACTGCATTGTTCTCAATCTTATCAGAGCAAAACAGTTTAAAAACCCCTGAATTTAGTGGCTCGTTACAGTGACTCCTGGAGTGTAGTAAGAGCTACCGACCCCCAAGCCTTGGAAATGAAGACTCCTAACATCCTACACTTGGGATCACTGTGATCTCTCTCACACTCCACAACACTAACAGACCTGTGGTGTGGATGAACTCCTGGACACTACAGGTGTAGAGTGTGTCACAGAAGACAGTAGCTTTATGAAAGAAGTTCAAAACACAAGATATGCCCTTCTGGATCATACTCTGGTGATAAAAGCTCAGGCAGTGCCAGCTAACACTTCAACTCAAAGAGCTGGTCTTACTGCTTTAGCGAGATTCAAGCCTTATAATTATAAAAGGCCAAAGAGTTAAAATTTACACAGACTCTGAATAAGTGTTCCTTGTATTACATGTACATTCAGCAACTTGTACTGACCACAAAGAACTCCTCTGTCAAACACAGGAGAGGAGGCTGATCATAGTCCTAAAGGGCCTCTGGCTAAGCTTTGCTAGGAGGCCTCAGCATCATGACTTCAGCTGTTGTCTGTTGGCCCCTCAGGTTGGTGACAGCACATCTGGCTGCTTTGAGAATTACTAAATGATGGGATTTTATAGTTTACATGCAGCTTGCTACTAACCGTTCTTTCCTGCCTCCATTTGTGGTTTGGATTTTCACTTTGTTTTTATTTTTAAATAAACATTTTAACCAATTTCTGTTGGAACTGAGTAGCATATGTAGAATTTTAATAAAACGAGAAAAACAAAAGTGTTACTTCTATATTCCTGAACAAGCTACAATAATGATCAACTCAAAACAAAGCCCTTTCATCTATCTGTAAGTCCCACTCATCATATATATTTATCCTTAAATACTATCAGTTCATGATAATATCTAAGTGAAAAATAAAGTTTTAACTTATTCTAATGTTCAACCAATATTTATATTACTGTGCGAAGCACAGTAACTTATCTTTTATAGTGAATTTACATCCAAATCCATATAATATCCATTCATTGTGATTAGCTTCTGAAATCAATTTTACTATTTGTACTTTCTGTGAAGGAAAAAAAAAAAAAAACAGCTTATTAGTTAAAATTCTGTTCATGCCTTTCTTCACAAGTGACCATTACTGTCAGACACTAGACATTCTCACTACTTTATCTCCATTTACTGGAAATAAAATCACCTTAGCTGAATTCTGTTATAACTATACAAGAGAATTTGAAGATTTCTTAAGCAACTTGACTCAAATGAGTAATACACCAGGATTCAAAATCATTTCCCTTTCAAACCAAAGAATGGTGTTTTTTTTTTCTTTTTGAAATATATTTATTCACAGGTAGAGAGCAAGAATGTGAACTCCCATCTCCTGGTTCACTCTATCAAATGGCTCTGCATGAACCCAGCTCCAGGAACTCAATCCAGATCTCCCATGTGGGTGGCAGGACGTCAATTACTTGAGTTGCCGTTGCTGTTTCCAGGGTCTTCAGAGGCAAAAAGCTGGAGTCAGAAGCCAGAGCTAGCACTTTGACATAAATGGTAACTACATTACCCAATGTCTTAAATCCGGGGATACACGCCCTGAAAATTTATTTTCATTGCCTCTGAAGAGTTTTAAAATTATTTTTTCTGAACTCCTGGTCTGATAGGTCATCAATTTCTTCATCTGGAATCTCTGCGATTGACCAGGCCTTTTGGTGACCTTTTGGGGTGGCACTGGCTCCTTCCTCTGACTCAGTTCTTTTCCTGTGACCTCACCCATGTCTATGTGATAGAACAAATTGCTGCCTTCAAGCCCTTGACCTCTGCTGCCACCTAGAGGGAAACCTGAGTTCTTGCTGACCTAGATTTTTTTGTTGTTTTTCTTCTTTGTGGCGCCTGGGTTCCCCCACCCCTACTTCTTCAGGCTGCGATCTTGTGGGCTCTATAAAACAGGCCATATTTATGGTAGCTTTAGGGTCTCCCTTCTCGTGGCCCTGGGACTGGCGCCGCCCAGGGAGCTCCAGTTCGCAGGATCGCCCAGGCTGTTCGTTTCTGTGCTTAGTCACCCTCTCCAGATCACGCCGTGAATTGCTCAATTCAGGCACCTTAAACCGCCTTTTGTCCCCGCCTGCCCCGAACCTCCTGCTAAGCGCGGGCACTTCCCTGTGTTAGCGACTCACCGACTCACTGAGGTTCACTCCCTGAATTTCAAATTTAGCTCGCCAAATTTCGCTGGAGTCTCCGCAGCCCAGGGCTCCCTCCTGGTCCTTCTCAGATTGCTGATCCCAGGCTTTCGCGTCTGTTTAGCTGCTGTATGCCGCCTTTCTCAGTCCTGGTGGCACTGGGGGATATCCCACGGTGTTCGCCGCGGTTCTTTTCCTCTCGGGCTCACTTCAGACTGCTACTGTCTCTAACTTTTAGGACCCTCAGTCATATCAGTCTAACTACGTCAGCCATCTTGACTCTTTACCGGAAATTTATTTTCTATGTTAATGGTTTCGAAAGTGTTCACAGAAATACTTCAGAGAGTGGTGAAAACCGTTAAGCTTTTAATAAAACAAGAAGGTGAATTGAATATCAGAGTACGTTTTCTTCAGAAAGAACAAGAATTTCTTCACAAGATTTCAGTTTCAGATATGCATATGCTGTTTGTGTGGACCTGTGCACCTCTACATGTTCACTTGATAAGAGAGTTACTGACTGGCTCCAGTCAGGAAATTTGTTGCCCTTGATCTAGCCCAGGATGTGTAGGGGATGGAACACAGCTGAGAATCAGAGAATGCAGCAGAGTGGCTCCAAAAAAGGACCTCTCAGTTCTGTCCTGGTGTGTGATAAGAAACTCTCAGGGCTCAGTGAAAAACAGGAATCCCAGTGCCAGGACTTAGGAAGAACCATCCTCTCCCTGAAACCGACACTGCCATAAAACATCAAGATTATTCCCAAGAAGATTTGTTGTCGATGAGTCTGGAACAGATATAGACTTCTTTTACTCAATGGGTATGGTTCTGAAAAAGTACATGTAACCAACCTCAAATTTAGACATCAAAACCTTTCAACATTCAAACACTAACGCAGGAAGGGCTTGGGCCAGAGTTGTGGCATGGTGAACTGAACAACTGCCTACAATCACAAGGATCCCACTTGAGCCCTGCTTTGGGTCTGGTCCAGCTCCTTGCTAACATCCTGGAAAGGCAGTTGAAGACGATCCTGGTATGTGGACCCCTGCCATCCAGGGTTCTGACTTACCCAGGCCTACCAAATGCAGGACTGTTCACTGTGGAATCAACAATTAGACAAAAGGCCAATCTGCATGTGAGTGGGGGGGGGTGTATGTATGTGCATTTGTACATGCGCACATGCACATGGGTAACTGTGCCTTTCAAATAAGTAAATATATCTTTTACAAAAATGTGAAATGTCATAGTCTAGTTTTTAGACAATAACTGTTCTCTTAGAAGCATATGCAATCACCTGTTGTGTAACTGCAGATTCTGTACACTGTACTTCTTGGCAAAGAAATCCAAGTAGACAAACAGTAGAACAAAAGGGATTGTGAGGCTCACAGCTGTGCAGACTGTGTCTAAGTATGCGGGACTCTAGTTCCCCAAGCCAAGTGATTCCAATACTCTCATTCAGCTCTGTTACCGACTGCCCAAGTATCATGCTATGGTGGACATGAAGTCTGACCTTCAATAATCTTTATCATATAACCCTTCCTGATAATAACTTTCTCCTCCTTCCAACTGCAAGGTTTGTTTGTGGTGGTTACCTGGGCACCTGGCAATAAAGAAGTCACTGTTACAAATCTCCAGCAATACCTCAATCACTACTGATTACAAAGAAAAGCCGCTATAAAGATTATGGGTAGGGCAATACATCTACTTATCCCCCACATTATAATCTATGTCACAACAGTTGCTACTTTCCAGCTGGCCTTCTCCCTTTCCTTCTCTTTCCATGACTCTCTTTCCATGAACTCCTTTGTCACCTGCTAAACTGCCCTCAAGGCCAGGCCCAACACTTGGACAAAAGTTACCACAAAGCCTTGCTGAGTCAACAGAAAATAAGAAAGACTTGGTGACTCTACATTCCACTGACAGAAACTCTCATATTCTCATTGCTTCTCCCTAAAAACCTGTGTTTCCGTGACACTGTAGGTATAGACAATGAGAAATTGTCCAGCATCCTATTGTCAAGATATATTTAACAGTTTCAGTGGGAATACATCTGTTATTCTGGAAGAGATGCACATTACAATGTATCTTGACTTCTTGGTATGCTAGTCTCCCTTACACAATTCCTCTAGATAAACAGATGTGTATACTTGTGGTTTTTCTTTTCTTTTTTTTCTTTTTTTTTGCATGCAGGTTGCCTTATATCAGAGAGAACATATGATATTTGTCCTTTCTATAGAGTCTTTTAAAAATTAGTTTCACGCACCAGTAGCTACCCAGTTTTTCCAACAGGATTTCTGAGTTGTAGGCTGGTGTTGCCCTGGAATACACTGCTTCTCAATGAGAGAAGAGTCTGCTCATTCACCTCACAGGACATTAAGCAATGTCTTGGGATACTTTTGCTTGTTAAAAACTTGGGAATGAGGATGGGTGGTACCAAAGCTTCCACTGGATAAAAGCTAGGAAGCTTGTTGACTTCCTGCAATGGACAGAAACCCACTCACTGCAAAGTGTCACTCTCCCCTGGAAGGAAGCAGTGCTGAAGATGAGAGACATGCCTTAGCCATTCTCTAGGTTACCCATGACTCGATTCATTCTCAGAGAGAGAAAGGAACCTGTCATCTAACAAATTAGTGGCAAAAATGGAGTTAAGATCTAGTTCTGACATTCAGATTATTTTAGCTCTGTTAGAATAAATCTTGGGTTCAGAACAATTGTTTCGTGGCTGAAATCCTCACCTTGCAAGTGCCAGGATCCCACTTGCTCACTGCTTCACATCCCAGTTGCTTCACACTACATTCTGCTCCATGCCTGTGTCCTGGGAAAGCCATAGAAGATGGCCCAAAGCCTTGGGACTCTCTATCCTTGGGGGAAACCTGGAAGAAACTCCAGACTCCTGGATTTGGAACAGCTCAGCTCCAGCCATTATAGCCACTTGGGGAGTGAATCAGCAGATGGCAGGTCTTTCTCTCTGTCTCTCCATCTCTCTGTAAATCTGCCTTTCCCACAAAAAAGAACAGATATTTGAAAATAAAGAATAAATCTTGATTTTAATGTGCACAAACTCCGGAGCATTATGGGTTCGCAACATGAAGCGATTATACCTTGACTATTCTTATAGAGAAAGCAACTCCAGAATTAGGTTATTCTAATTTGAAATGGATTCTTTCCTCTTGCTCTGGACATAGTCTCAACTGATCTAAAACAAACTCTGTCATTTTAGACACAATTTGAAGTATTTTCCTAGTGATCTACATCAAAGAGTGTGAGGTAATGTAGAAAGATTTGCAAGATCAGCACTTACCTTGCTATCTCCTTCTTGACCCCAAGAATCAGTAGAAGGCCCTGACCTGTTTAGCAGTTCTGTGTTAATAAATAACTTCTGCCCAACAAAAGGGGTAGAGTCCAACTAGGGAAATGCCACTCCCATGGCTTTCAAGGAACACGGCTGTCCACATTAGATTGCAAAGAAAATGATAACCAGAAAAACTTGTCTACATGTTACATTTCAAGGTCAACACGAAAAACTTTAAGAAAGCAAATATTAGCTAGATTTTACTCTCAGTGGGGACTGATTTAGAAGGAAACTTAGGCAAGTATTCATGAGCCCAAAGAGGATGGAGGCAGGTGAAGTACCCACACATGAGTTGAGCCTGACAACAGCAAGCTGCTGGCTCGCTAGAAAACATTATTGGAGTGATAAACGCAATGGGAGATACCCTGGTAAGGGGAACTGCAGATGAAACATTGTATGGAACATGCTAGAAGTAGGAAATTATTGTGTGGTCAGCACTGTGGCATAGTAGGGAGTGTTGCCACCTGCAATGCCAGCATCCCATACAAGCCCCAGTTTGGATCCCAGATGCTCCACTTCTGATCCAGCTTCCTGGTAATGGCCTGGGAGAAGAGCACGTGATGGTCCACATGCTTGGGCCCCTGTGTACACGCAGGAGACCCAGATCAAGCTCCTGAATCCTGTCTTCAGCCTATCCCTACCCTGGCCACTGCAGCCACATGGGGAGTAAAACAGTGGATAAAGCATAGCAAGTCTCACTTCTTTCCCTGTAATTCTTTCAAATAAGTGAATAAAATATTTTTAAATCTTATTCTTTATCAGTAATGGATAATGACTCAAATGCTATTTCACCTATGAAAGCTACCAAGCCTACTGACCTAATCTTCCTTCTCTACCTCACTCAAAGTACCTTCCCGAGCCCGGGTACTTTTACATTTGCTCTTGGTTGTGATTGGAACAATATGCTTCTGCCACTACTGTCTTTACTATGCTTTCCTCACTTTATTTTGAAACTGTCTGGTTCATGTCAGTATCCCTCTGATCCTGGGGACAGAGCCTTCATCCAGTCCCCAAGAATAAGAAATAAATCTAACCATGGTTACAAATTACATTGAGCTGTGGTGAGTCCCCCTAAAGCAAAAGTCCATGTCCAAATCCCTGGCTCCTATAAAGGTGAACTTAGTGGAGAAGGGACCTAGCAATATAGAAACCCAAAATGCGGTGTCCCCCAGAAGCAGGCAGAGGAAGGAAAGGACCCTCTGCTGGAGCACCACATCAGTGAGGGCCTTCTTAGTCTTTCCCCTTGGCTTTCTAGCCCTCACAGATAACAGTTCTGCTATCACTCTACCGCTCATTAGCAATTTGTGATAGAAACCCCAGGAAAATCATATGCACTCCCAGTTCTTCTTCAGTCATGGAATTACAGTCAAGCAAATGAGCAATAGAGTAGCACTTTGTCTATAAAGAATAACACATCATTTAAATAGTAAGAACTCTATTAACATAATCATGCAAACCTCCAAACACACTGATGTTTTTAACTCCTTAAGGTCATGTAACATTCAGCCATGCCAATTTCTCTGTTGTCTTGTGGGTGTTTGTTTCATGGCAATCTGATTATTTGCATCTTCCTCTAGACAAGGGCCATACAAGCACCCAGGTACGTGATTCAATACCCTGTGAAGGAATGGGTGAAGGACTATGCTGTTATGTAGAGTTTGGGGTTGTGGTGAGTATTCAAAACCCAAGCCTGTACCCCTACATCCTTCAGGAGGACATGGACTTGAGCACAGTGTCATTATCCACTGTGATGGAACACTGGAGCACACTAGCTAGGACCCATACCACCAGCTCACACAGACACATCTTACTCAGTATGCTCAAAACATTTTCCTGGTTTCATTAAATAATTTGGAAAAAGAAAAAAGGTTTATTGGTTGCAAAATGGCTAGGATTAACATTTAGGGAAATTGCTTCATGCTGAGAAACTTCAGAAAATTGATTTACAACTGCTTCTTGTGCCCTTTATTTAATGGAAAATCCGGAATACTTTTTTTACACATTCCTCATCCACAGGTGGCTTCCTCTGGCTGCCAGGCTGCAAGAACTTCTTCACGGTGGGGAGGCTGCTGATTCTGGTCTTGAAAGCCTGCAAGGCACAGATCACAGATCCTCAGGGAGGAACAAAGAGCACCCAGGCCATCAATAGCACAGCCCAGGAAGACCTAGCCCTCCTCCACAAAAACACTGAGTCCCCTCCATCAGCACCAGCATGGAGGCTGGGAAATGAACCCCAGTGAGCATGCAATGAGGGGAGAAACCTACAGTTCAAGAACATTCTCTCATGCCACATGCCATGTTTAAGGAGTAATTCAATTTATGTCAACACTGTCTTCCTCATGCTTTTTTAAAATTGCACATTCATAGTTCTTAAGCAATACAATGAGGAAGATGTGTGTATCATATATTCAAACACAGAAATTTCTACAAAGGAGAAAATGAAGGCAAGTGAAAACTGTTGGAATGGAAGACAGAAAATACTAAGTTAGCCTGAGGCCACAGACACTGATTTCAACACGGAGCTCTGAGACAGAGATTGTGGGAAGAGAAAGTAAGAGACAGAGAGGAATACAACATCAGATTGTTGGAGCCAATGCTGAGGGAAGCAAAACATAAGGAAGGCAAGATTCTTTTCATGACTCAGAGCCAGAGTCTAGAAGCTCATGTTCAAGTGCATGTGTATGTGAGTTTGTATCTGCTTGAACACATGTGTATATGTACAAAGATTAAGAATAGGGTTCAGAACATCACAATTCCAGAGACTAGATGTTATATGGAAACATGGGCCCTGCCCTCCAAGGCCAGTGAGGCAGGTCACCTGCAGCAGAGGGAAGCTGGTGATGATGGTGGGGTCCACCTCCTCCACATGATACAGAAGCTCAACCAGGTGAACGTCAGCCTTGCTCAGCTGATTGCCAACCAGGTAGTCTTGTCCATGGCTCTTCAACACCTGGTCAATCACCAAAATGAAATCCTGGTCACAGGCTAGTGGGGCTCAATTCTGCTCCTCCCTCAGCTTCTCCAGCCCCATAGTCCCACTTCTGCTGTTCCCCCGTACACACATATGGGGAACCAGACCTTTCTCCAGGGCCCTGGCTCATGAGGAAGACGAGTGGGCACTGCTCACTCCTCAGTGAAAGCCCAGGACATCCTTTCATTCTCACTCCCATTTCACTGAGGTGTGCACACCACACACCTTCACTTGCACCTTCCCCCTATGCCAAGGACTTAGCCCCTGCTGCCGCGTGTTCCCATCTCTCCATGCTCTGATGGCTGCAGCCCTGACATTTCAAAACCCATCTCTACCCTACACTCTCTCCAATCCACCCTGGGATGTCCCTTCCCCCAATCACAGTTCTCTTTCCTGTGAGGAGACAATTTCTAACTACAGATCCCCTCTTATCTGCTACCTTCACTCCATTTCAGGGATGTGGGACACATATGGATGAACTTGAAGTCATCATCTTTGTCTCCTAAATTACAGTTCAGGAACTACCCTGAGTCAGGTCTGCAACATACTTCAAAATGCACAAAAATAACACATTTTTTGATAGAGAAATAGCTGAAAGGAAAATGTTACTTTTCCCATCTAGGTAGTGGGTATCCTTGTGTTCTCTGAATTGCTTTCACATTTTATAACATTAAAGTTTTCCAAAAAGTTTTAGGGTAACACGAGATGCACATGAAAATATTTCAACAATTTAGTAATCGTGGAGAAGAAAGAGAAGAAGTATACATTGTGCACCCCCCTAAAGAAAAACCCCATTGAACATTTCTGGAAATGCCCTTTTAGACTATACAAACCACATCACTAGGAGAAGCGCAAGTGCAGTGTCAAACCCTATGTTATAATATAAACCAAATCACCATGTCATCACACATTACACATCCCACCTAATCAAAATTTAATCCCACCATTTTCCACTCTATAATAAAACCTCCCAAACATACACCTCATACCTCCCCTTATTTTACCTTCCCTCCTCACAACCCTCCATTCAACAAACCCAACACCAACAATCCACTTACCCCTACCTCCACATAACTACAACAAATCATCCACCCCCCCCATACCACTTCAAACCCCCCACCCTTAATAATCCAAACCTACAAATCTAACAAAAACCCCCTAACCCACAAACACCACTCAAAATCACACAAAATTTTCACATCTCCAAACCCAAGCTCCAAATCCCTACTAAACTACAATCCCCATAACACCAAAAATCACACCCTTCAACCCATAATCCAACTATACCACAAACATTCCACAATTACAATAAAAAAAAATTACAACCCCATCAAACCCCACCCAACATCTATCCCTACCAACACACAATAACACCAAACAAAAATTTACTTCATCACAACCCACACCCACAAACCCAAACCCATCCAACATCCCCCCCCCCACTTACAAACCACCTTTCATCCCACCTCTCCAACCCCTTACACCTCCCCCAAATTTTTACTCCTCCACCATAATTCATCCTATCCCCCCCCCAACATTCATCTCACACAACCCCACCATCACACACCAACTACCACTTTTTCCCCCCCCCTCTTCACTCACCAACTCCCATATCCCCATCATTCCATTACTTTCTCCCTCCTCTCACACCATTCACCATTCAAATTACCAACCCATCATAACCCCAATATTCCCAATTCTCTACAATTATTAAACAAATTAAACTCTACACCTCTCTCCCCCTGTAACACACTCTCTTTCACCATTCCTTCTCTTCACTCTTGACAAAATACCATGAAATTTAAATAATCTTTTATTTTAAAAAAAAAAAAAAGAAATTCTATCCATCCTGAAACAATACAACATTCTACTGATGGGCCACTTGCCTTCCTCCCCTTCAGTGGTGTCTGCATATTCTGTAAACCTCTTAGTATGCTTGTAAGGCCAAAATTTATTTAGGACTGTGAACTCTTGCCAAAGAGAGAATTCTAGATTGGATACCAATAAATTTAAATCTTCTTTAAAATATCACCTCTGTTATACATGGTACAATTTTTCTTATATTCTGTTAGACCCAATGGCCGAAATGTTAAGGTGCTAAAGGACTATTAAGGGAAGTTCCTTTGGAAGTAGCTGTCAATGCCCCAGGGAGTTCAGACCATCTGGTGTAGCACAAGATTGTATATTCTGAGATTTCGAATGTTGACATCCAAACACTCACTGGGATTCTCCTCCTAAGTGAGAATCTCAAGACACAATTAAGTTCTTGGGAAGAAAATATACGGATAATATTAATATTCTTATAAAAGGGATGCCAAAGTTCTCCTGACCTGTCCACAAAAAGACAACACAGCTCAAAGTTAGCCAAATTTGAAGCGTAACTTTGAAATGACCCTCTCATGTGCTGCCTAAATCTTATGCATTGTGTGTTCATGCTTCCCAACAGTGAGAAGTAAATGTTAAAGCATGCCAGTTTGTTATTTTCCTTCTGGAACCCAAGCTCCTAAGGCATCCTCTCAGCACAGATGTAGCCTTTCAACTCTGAGTGCCCCTAAAGACCAAGAACTTCCATTTACCTTTTCAAAGGCAGGAAAGTAACGATTTCTTGCTTTATCTTTGATCTGAGCAATTGTTGCTTCTTTTACTCCAGGATCACGGAACGGGTAAAGGATAATCAGCTCCTTCAGGTCTGCTATGCCTTCATCATACATGTCAATCCTAAGAGACAAGATAACCAGTCAGTTGCCTCCAGTCTTAGATGATTGCCTAGCTGAAAACCGTAACAAACTATGTAGTAAAGACATCTTGTGGAGGCATTGTTTGGAAGCCAGCATGCTATGAACTGTTAACATGTATGTCCTTAAACAGCCTACAGGGTAGCAATATATCTCATATTTTTCTTAGACTCGTGACCAAATACAGTTAAAACAGTTGTTCAGGGTCATTGTATTGAGAGAAAGCTATACGATCCCTGCCTGTGGCCACTGATGCTACCAATAGAATTGGATCTTTCTCATATTGTGTCCTGTGCACAATCACCAGCATTGTGCATGTGACTGGAGCTCTGCTGCCTGCATCATCACAGAGACATCACTGGTATGGCTGTTTCACACCTGTTCCTCCTCATCTTCTATCCAGCATAATTCCCAGGTTCATTAGTGGTGCCCAATGTGATAAGTTCTCCAAACTACCTCCCAGAAGCCATTTGACAGGCTGCTGCCCACCTCTAGTCGGTCTACATGTCTTACGTTTCCACAATGCCCCATTACATAGTGCAATTCCATAAAAGCCAATGTGTCAGCAAGCCTTGTTTCTTTTCTTCACACTGATTTTCTATAACATATTTTAACATGATATTGTTAAATGACCACATACCACAGTTGTAATTCCTCTAAAGTACTATACCCAGTGATTTTACACATTCACAGAATCCTGCAAAAATCCACAACTTATAATTCCAAAACACCTTTACTATCATTTTTTTTTAAGAAGAGAACCCTGCATTCTTTGGCAACCACTGGCCCATCATCCTTTCCTCTGTCCCCAGAACATCACAAACCTAATTTCTTTCTCTGCGGATTTGCATATTATAAACATTTCATACAAAAGAAATCATGCAATATGCATCCTTTGTTGTCCATCTTCTTTTATGGAACACAATCTTTACAAGGCTTGTCCATGTTGTAGCTTGCATCAGTGTAGCATCCCTTTTCATTGCCAAATCCTATTCTATTTTATGACTATAGCACACTTGGTTTATTCATCTGCTGATTGACATTCAGTTTATTTCATGGCAACACTTTTGTTTCACTCGGATACATAGCTAGCAGCAGAATCACTGGGCGATTGGTTACTTTACACTTTACCTTTCCAATAGCTGCCCAGAGCTCTGGATGATATTTTATGTTCAATCATGCAGTACCATCAAGACAAGGAGGGGACCTGCCACTATTGGTAGTATTGAGTCAGTAATGACCGTTTTACAAGCTGATCAGTTCAAATAAGCATCCTTATCATTTCTGGAACCTGAGAAATCAGCTGTTGGGATCCCACCTTTCCAGGCCTTGAGCTTGACATTTTCTGTCTTGTTGCAAGCCATGGAGTGGAATGCACGCCATGAAAGCTTGAACTCCTAGAACCATGATTCCTCCATCCTCTGACTTCATTTGTCATCAGGCTTTGGGAACTGCTGCTGCTGGACTGTGTCCACAAACCGCATCCTTTGCCATGATCACATTCACCTAAATCCATCCCAAATGTTCCCTTCCTGTGCTTCCCTGAGACTCTGCTGCACTGGACCCCAGTGCATGTTCACATCCCCACTGCTGCTGCTTCTGCTCCCTCTGAATTGGCCCTGTTCACTCCAAGAGGACCTCATCATCCCTGTACTATCTGCTGATGTATGAACACAAATTATACCGTACAGGGCTCTCTCCTTTATGTCTTTCCCATAGAGGTTGTGCTTGTTGGCAATGTAGTTGAGAATGGCTCGGGTCTGCACCAGCTTCATCCCATCAATCTCAACCAGGGGCACTTGCTGGAACATCAGCACTCCATCTTTGCAAGGAAGAAAACAGAGCAAAATGTCTATAGGTACACTCTTTGATGAAGAAGAAAGCATGTTGAAACTAATAAAACTTAAATTTCTTAAAGTTTTCAACAAATAGTATTTTAATTGAGATATCATTCTCAATTTTCCCTTCTGCTTTTTTAGCCCTTTATTGATTCTTTCATTTCCATTGAATACATTCTAGTTCTGGGGATTTTTCACTTATCTTCATGGATAATTTAGGTGGAAATTGGCAGAGGGTTCAGTAGGGCCACCAGCTGAGCATCATTTAGAAAAACACCTTTCTCAAATTGTGTGATGTTTGTGACATCAACGCCAACTCTGTCAGGCCCTCGGTGTGTTTTTCAACCTACACCTGTGGACACTGTGTGCAAGGTGGGACTGTGTCCTTGACCCCGTGGCAGCTGATCATTGTTCTCTCTCTACCTCCTCACACACTTACCTGGACTTCCAACTACCTCAGTGCTATCTCATTAAGCAGCCCACACTTTTTGCTGGGCTCAACAGAAAATGGAAAGGAAGTAAAGATAACTGCTGAAGATATCTCCTCTCATTTCCTCTCATGCATGTCCCTGTACATAATGGGATTGGAGGGCAGCGTGGTGTCAAATACAGACAACAAGAACAGAGCATTCCCAATGTACAGTGTTGTTCCAGAAATTACTTTAGAAACGTCTACTCCTGTGTAGCTTTTACAATATTTTCTGCTCTGCTCATGGACACGTATGCTCAAAGTACACGTATGCTTTACCTAATGCTAACCTTTCTCTCATTACCAGGTGCCACCCATACATTGGCAACGTCTGTTGTCTGGACACTGTGTTTAGAAGCATTTAGATGCTTGAACTCACCATTTCTTAACTTTTCCAGATCTTCTCGTGTTTCTATGTATATCTCTTCAAACTGGAAGTAGAAACAGTATACAAACATTAATTAGTTCATTCTATGAATTATAGGCTTTTAAACCTGATGATCCTTGTTATTTAACATAAAGAGGGCAAGCTTTCTCAATCTGACAGCTGGTGATTCTTGAACCTGCATTTCACCTGCACCCTGACCCCAAGGTAATTTGTGGGTGAGCCTAGATCTATGAGGTGTCCATGGAGGAAAGGGCTGTGACGATTTTCTAGATACAGAGTTGTATCAGTAGCTCAGGAACAGCAGAGTGATGCAGCAGAAGTGTGCTACGACCATAACCCAGAGTTGTAGTAGCTCAAGAGAGCCAGTGCCTTTCCCTGAGATGAGAACAGAGCCTACCAAGTCCCCAGCAGGGGATAAGCCAAAGCAGTAGCCAGCTACCATTCTGCTGCCAGGGGCCTTCTCCTACAATTTACATCATCCCACTCTCCAGGAGCTCAGCCATGAGTGAAATGGATCCATGTGGTTGCCCAGCGGGAAGTCTTGCAATCAGAACTCCTTTGGAAAATACGGGGCATCGCAGGATATACAGATTTTGAATTCAATGATGGAGTCACCCACTCAAGTTTCAGCAAAGTTAACCTTTGTGAGTGCTATTTGGGCAAGTTCCCAAACAAAGTTAAATGGAACCATTTTGATATCTGAGATGGTTGCACAAGTTTCATATCGCCTAACCATGGACACATTACTAAATCTCTTTGTGTGTCAATATCCCAATCTCTAAAATGAGTCTAGTTATCATGCTGATGCTAAAGATCTCCATGAGGATTAAATTACTAAGGCCTGTACTACAATTAGTAAAGTACCATGCATAGTGGTGTAGGACAAACTCAACAATCTAAGTTTTCCTTAGGATTTTGACAGAAATCTATTTCATCCATGATTGGCTGCCCAGGAACAACTCCAGCAGCTGTGTCCCTTTGGTGTGCAGCGACAGTTTTTTTCTCAGTGCCATCTCTAGAGGGCAGCACTCAGAAGAATCACATAGACCCCTGCTGGGGGCACATGCTGGGAAGAAAGGCCTGCTAACACTCTCAACACTCTGAAATGCTCTCTCAAAAGCTCCTGCACTTCTTTCAACTCACCCATTTATAACACTTGAGAGCAGGGACCATGTCTGTCTTGTTCACTGTGTATCCCAAAACTTGGCATTTCCTAGGTGCTCAGCAGAAATCATTGCTGAATGAAGGTAAGCCACTGTTGCCAGGCAGTTTGAAGCTATCCACCCCTTCCTGCTTCTCAGGCTGCACTTTAAGTGCTTTCATTTCTCAATATTATAATTAAATCCTCTAATTATGTAAATGTATCACATGTACTAGATCAATAAGAAATTGTAAACTGCTCCTTGAACCCCTCACCTTAATAATTATTCCAACATCCTTTTATTTCTTTGTTCACCCACTTTCCCCTCCTTGCAGTGATTTGAACAGTATCCCAGATGTCACCTATTTCTTTCTATAATGATTTAAGGGTTTCCCTAAAGTGAAAGACGTATTTATTTCAAATATCCACAACACATAATCTTATCTAAGACATTAGTACTTTTAATGTTATCCATATTAAGTCAACACTTGTGTTACTGCTTATATAAATGCCTTAAGTTGGTTTTACAATTTCTCCAAATCCAGCTATGCTCCACACATTATAACTGGCCATTTCAAATTCTGATGAGAAGAAAGGATAAACATGAATTAGGTGAAATCTGTTCATCTCTTTCTTCAGAACTGGTCATTTCTTTCTTTTCAACTATTTATTTCAGAATCATTTAAAGTTGACAAAACTGTGAAGTAATACCAAGAGTTCCCCATAAATCCCACATGCATCTTTCCCTTCTGTTAATGTCTCCTGCTCATAATTATAGCATGTCTCCCTAGCTTATCTGAGCAATGTTGGCAACAGAAGTTAAGATCCATTTTGAAGACAAGTTCACTAGAACCTACCTCCACTCCAGCTGCAGCCAAGAGCCACCGGATCGATTCCATTCTGCCCCGGTCGTTGGAATAGTGGAGAATGGGCTTCTCTGCCATGGTGAGAGTTCTTGCTTTCTCTAAACATTAAAATATATATATATATCAATGCAACTGAGGAAAGAGACTGAACTTGTGATGACTGCTTCGACAGTCATGAATGAACAATTTAGAAGAAGGTTCTGCCTTGCTTATGACATTTCCTTAGCCCAACAGTAGCAGTCCTCAAGTGGACCAAACCAGTCTCATGTCCCTGTTAGCTAAAATGTGACTATTCTTGAGCAGTTAAATGGAGTGGCTGTGCACAAGAGCTAGTGGAAACAGAAAGAAGCTAAGAATTAAGATTTATTGAAATTTCCAGGATGATCCCACCTCCAAACTTGCTTCTTTTGAAGTATTGCATCTTAGACTTCAACATTTTTCCAAGAACTACTATCTGCATTAATCAACTAATGAGAATGAGCACGAGAGATGATAAATACTCTCACATATCTGCAAATGGCAATGTCAAAATCTACAACCTTTCCACCAAAAGGATACTAATCCTATACTTTCTACAGGCTCAATATCTGCTGTTGGTATTTCAGTTAATAATACAGCAAGATGCATGTTTCTTCATTGACTTTAAAACAGAAGAAAGGGAAGTAACATTTGCTCAAAGGCTGTCACACACTGAACTATCACACAAATATCTACATTTATTCCAAGACATGGCTGATAATCTCCAATTCCAATGATGCTGTGTTTCTTGCTTGATGACATGCTATGCTTTTTTAAATGCAGGTGATGGTCTGCTTCTCTCACCAAGACTTCTAAGTGTCTTGCCTGAGAAATCCTATACTTCAGGGAATCTCAATCAAGGGAGACTTGAGTCCCTGGCTGAAGGGGAAATTAAGCAATGTGTTGAGACATTTTTGGTTGTCACTCTGTGTGAGCGAATAATAGTCTGGTGACATTTGGTAGGGAAGGACAGTGATACCTCTGTATATCCTATAAGGCACAAGATACGAGTGTACTCAACGCATCAACTGGTCCCAAAGGGCAGCAGTGCCAAGGGTATGACACCTGGCTTGGCCATTCTCTAGGTTTGTTATGAGTTTGTTGAATCCCAGATAAAGAACAAGATTTGTAATCTAACTGGTTAGTGACAAAGGATGGATTAGAATCAAGTTCTAGTACACAGACTAACTTATTCCTTTGGCAATAAATCTGAATTTTGAATGTTTCAAACTTATTGAGATTGCACTATTACAATTGATAACAATTCTGCACTATATTGGAGAGAATGAGATGTTAGCACAAATGTTGGGAAAGGAGACAGGCATAAGAATATGTGTGTGTGTGGAAGACAGTGGGAGGGAAATAGAGAAAAAGAGAAAAGAAAGGAAAGTAAGGGAAGAACACACAGGTGTTTCTGCAAATAAGTGAAGGAAGAGACCCAGATGACTTAGAAGCATGCCTTCAACCATTCACTCAGGTGTCAGAAAATCTAAGAGCTTTCTCTTCATGCTGCCAATTTTCCTTTGGCCATCATAATCTCACACCCTAGCTTTCCTAATTCTTCATACTATATTTTTATAAAGGTGTATTCAAGAGATACTGATCCTAGAATTATTATCTAAGCACAGTAAGAAGGTATGAAGTGTGCACAAACAAACTTTTACTTGTAAGAGCACACTTTAAAGAGCAGAACACAACATGGAGAGATTTATGAGATCAGTACTTACATTGCTAATGCCTGTCGCCCTCCTAGTTCCACAACTCAGTCAAGTCCGATGTGTCAATCAGCTATTTATTCATTTGAATAACTCCTTCCCACTAATAAGGGTAGAGTCCAGTGAGGGAAAAACCACGCCCACAATGTTCAGGATCAGGGGTTACCCATTAGGAATAGAAAGGAAGCAGTGAGTCAATATTTTGTGGAAACACCAGATTAATGAGTTACTTCTCAAGGTCAGCAATAGAAGTTTAAGAAAGCCATTGTGAATAGACTTTATTGCTCTACAGTCCACTAGGACTGGTCTTGTGAATAAACTCATTTTGGTGTCACCACCAACTGCATGAAAGATTGAGACAGCTGAATAGTCTGCACTGTGAGCTCTGCCTGTGAACAGCAAGCTGGCAGCCTTCTGAAATGCTCTGCTTCTAGAGAGGCAGAACTATAGGATAGCCTGGCAAATGGATTTTATTTAAATACCCTACAGTTGATTAAACGGGAATTCACGATAAAAATGAAAGATACTTGAGGAAAGATGTGGAAAAGCACTCTGCACACACGCTTTAGCCTCTAAAACTAATGATTATAGCAAAAAAAAAAAGTCTTCACATTAAAATACTGCTTTTTGTGGGTTTTTTTTTTCATTTTTTTCACAATTACAAAAGAAAAAAAATTGAAGCTCTAAGATCTTGATTATTTTTCCTGTTTTGGACCAAATACTCATTTTCTTCTAAATTTACTGACCTGTGGAAGTTTTTATATCATAAATACTTTCAAGACTGGAGTTTAAAAAGAAAAAGCTGGACATCTTATTGGGTGCAGAGAATGCTTAGAACAAAGGATGATGGGAAAATGGTTTCAGTCACTGATTATTTCATTATCCTTAGACTCATCCCTTCATCCCTCCCCAACCCAAATCTATATGATCTTTAAGATCAAGAAAAAGGTTTAAACATTTTAAAATAATTAAAAAGAAGTAAAAATTCACATTTAAAAGGGAACACTCAAGTCAGGAAATATTTCCCCATCATGCTTTTCTGTGAATAGGTGTCTGAACCAAAACATTGTCAATGTCACAAACGGCTTCAAGTTTAATGAAAACTGATTCCCATGACAATACAGAGTGACAACTCTAACAGGTGCGCTGGGTTTTTGTTCTACTTAATTTTTAATTCCTGAAATGGGGAAGAGGGAAAGGAAGTTAGGAATTCATTTCTATTAAAATATGGACGTTATTGCAAAACCCTAACTATAAAAACGCACCAATGTAATTGGACCTCGCCTACAATAGCTGAGAGTCCAAACGTTTCAGTGAAACAGTGAATTTGGCAGAATGCTGACCAGTTTCCATCCACTTGCCCTCTTGAAAATAAAAACAAAATTCAAAACAAATCATACAGCTAGAGTTTTGATATCTGAAATATTTTTAAATAAGTTGTCCATAGCACTACCGACTCAGCTCTCCCTTATAATATCTCCAGGTTTATCTTTTTGCAAAGATGATCTGTTAAGACTTTCTGCCTCTCTCCCTCAAGTTGGAGTGCAAGTGAGGCTCACAGTTGATCCATCTTCCCCAAACCACATCATTCCTTTTCACAGATCCCTGCCCTTTGAGACTGGCTAAAACTTGCAGTCCTCATCAGCCATATCGATAGCCCAGGCATACTTCTCCCGCTGGATTTTGTTCTAAATTTTCTCAATTGAGACACCCCTTTTCTTGCACCAAGCCACCGTGATCCTAGGGTCCAGATAATTGAGTTTGGAAGTTCCCAAGGCAATTTGTTTAGTCTCCTTTCAGTCTGTAGCCTGTACTTCCAGCTTCATTAGCTGCTCTTCCAGTATTTGCACAGCTTGCTTTTCTGACTCCACTACCTTCTTGGTCTTAGCATCCTTCATGACCTTAGCATCAGCCTTAGCGCTTTTTAGATCTCTTGGAGCATCTGCAAGCTGTTCCTTCTTGGCATCAATCTTAAACTGCAAGTTGATCATCGACTTCTCGAAAGTCTTGGGTGGTGCCCTCTGGTGGTTACAAAGAATGGCAACAGCTCGATTGGCACTGTTGTAAGAAAGGATTGTTGCTGGGATGTTTACACCTGGAACTGTGAGCTCTTTAGCTGCTGCTGTACCATAACGGAGGCATTGTATGTGCGGAATACCTTTGCTGTCAAGCCCTCCAAGAGATCCTGTAAGTGCTTATTTAGAATACTAGTATTCAGTTGGTCAAAAAGATCATCCTTAGGCTGCTTGTTCTCCATAAATAATTGTAGGTTCTTAAAAACTCTCTTCTCAACAGGGACTTTGTTGTAGTGTCTGATTGAGTCCTTCCCAAGGAAGTCAAATTTCACCATATACTCTTGGCCATCCAACTCTGGTTACGGATCAATGTGCTCCACACAAAGTGAGCAGCAGCCTACAGTGTCAGCTGTTTCTCCTTCTTTTCATTGCCTGCTGTCAGAGCAAGCTTGTCAATGAAGTACAGGGCTACAGCTCTCTGTTGAACTTTCATCTCTTTAGACTTCCAGTCTTCTCAATACTTGTTCCGGATCTTGTCCACACAGTTCTCCAGTTGTCAAGCAGTCTCATATTTCTGCCAGTCTTTTTCACCCTTGATCCGTGAACTGGGGTTCAGCATGATATGCTTAACAGAACCTTGAATGTTTTGCTTTCAGGAAACCAGCCATGTAACTTTGTTACCATGCCGAACCTCTTTCCACTTATGTCCTAGAGAAGAAAGAGGAACCTTGGAATCCTTGTTACAATTGATGATTATATCCTCTGGCATGATCCTCCTTTTCAGCATGCCCATCTTAGGATGGTTGCCACTCCCACAAAAAAGCCCAGGAGGCTCAATCTTGAAGTTGGCAATCCTCTCTCTGTGATTACCCATAATACAGAATCCATATTCTTTGAGTATTTTTTCTTTCTCTTCTTTGATTTTCTGTTTCTCTTTCTTGTTCATCTGTTTTCGAGCTTCTGATTGGGCTTTGAAATACTGGCTCATAGAGTTGAACTCACATTTGCTTAGAGTGGTTATAGCATTCTTCTCTTCATTGGTCATTTCCTTCCTCCAGTCCTTAAATAAATTTTTTCTAAATATATCATTAGTAGTATATTCATGGTCGAGTATTTTTGCAAAGAATGTAGCAACATTTTCTGCTTTGGGGCTTAGCTTCCTGGCTTTACCATCAGAGTAAAACTTGACACTCTCCGGAAGCGGCTCATGCCGGAGTCCAGCTCCAGCTGAGTTCGGAGCTCAAGAGTGAGTGGAGTCAGTGATAAAGAAAAGACACGGACACAGCTCAAGAAGAAGCTATCCTTTTTATTTACTTAGACACATCACAAGCCTCTGCACAAAAGTTTGATTTTACGATCTTTAGCTTCAGAACTAAGCCCACATGCACAGATGTTTGATTATTTATTTTTTACTTCATGGTCAACCAGATGCTCTTAAAGATAATTCTGTGAGTTACCATAACTATTTTCTTCAAAGCAAGCCTTTATTCATTCTTCAGTAGTGGCCGTTGAGTGACAGCCAGGGCTCCAAGGCCAAGGCACATGTGATTACTTGCTAATCAGTAGTAGATTCCTACCACATTTCTATTCCCACAACATGCCCCATCATTTAATGGGAGAAATATGTTACAAGGGAAAAAATACAAAAATCCAAGACAAAAGTTTCAAATGTTAGATACCCCCACAATTGCAGGGTCTATAACCCCATAAACAATCAAACAATAATCAAAAGCCTTTCTCTACGATATTAATAGGATCACCCTATAATTCCTCTAATAAAAAAATTGTAAAAACAGCTAAAACAGCTACATTTTTCTATGCTCCAAAGAAACTGCAAAAAGACAGGATTGCCTTTGAGATCATAGTAACTATATTTATTGCCATAGCAGTTTCAGCTCTCACTCCCATCACTTGCAATAATATTTAGGATATTTATCAAGTCCTTTCCCAGAAGGTGTGTTACATGTCTGGGCCAGGTTCTGAAGCAATGGCTAAGCACACAATAAAGGAATCCAGAAATGGCATGGGCTTAATTGTGCACCTGTGTGTAAATTGTCAAGGGCCCACTCACCAAGACATTATCAGAAACATTAATTCTCAAGCTCTTATTGGTTGCAAAAACCATGTCACAGGGGCAAACAACAATGCCCCAATAGATTAGAGAATTCTTAGTGGGGTGTTTGAGTGTCCATGCAAACAGGGGGTGAAACTGCATCAAGGTGGTCAGAGAGATATCCATCAGGCCTTGCCGAACAGCTGGAATCTGCCCTGGGCCCTGCCAAACAGGGGAGCTGATCTCTTCACAATTTCGTGTCATCCACACCTGTGCAAAAGGATGGGATTCCCAGTGGATCGCAAAGATAAGATTGCAGGCGGCAGGCCACAGATTCCTATAACAGCTGAGGCAGCCACAAGCGGTGATGCTGACAGACTGACCAACTGACTGCAAGGACAGACACCAGCATTTGTGGAACAGCCTAAGTTTGCATTTCCATGAATCTATTTTTTAACTCATGAAGCTCTGGTAGGAATAAAACTCTAGATGGGGAGGCATCCCCCACATCACCTGACCACTAAAAGTAGCCAGAAGCCAGAGCCCACTATAGCAGGGAGCTGTAGGGAAAGGGGGTTTGGGTGGGAGAAGAAGTATTTGACAGGTGAGGAATGACTTCTGGTGGCCTCCACAGACCAGGCCACTACACTTACAAGTAAGTGGGGAAGCTGAGATGGGTGGTTTAGAAACATGAAAACTGAAGGCATGTCTGGGTCAGACAAAGGCTCCTGTATAGAAGACGTGGGCATCACCCAGCACAAGTCTACATGTGTGAAAGCAAACTCTGTCTGGCCTGACTCACAGGATTAAATCCAAGTACCCAGCAGCAAGTATCAAGACAGGGAGTGAGCCATGTGGAGTTGGCAATGGCACGAAACAGCATGCAACAGAACCAGGTCTGGGGGCATATTTTGTAGATTTGTGGTCTCACCCTTGCAGGACAACAGCACCCCCTGGTTTGCACACAAGTTGCAGGTAGTGATGGTCTGAGCCAGTCATGACCAAGGAACTCATCAATACTCATGGGAGCTGGAGTTGAAAGCAGACCAGGCTGGTCCAGGCTGCAATACCTGCTGTCTTCGAGAGTGGGCTGGGCTTGATGCAGCATCCACTAAACATACACAAAAGCTGGGAATTAGGGCACACTGTGATAAACAAGGGATTAGCACCAGGTAGCACACATGAGATCTGGGGCTGAGAGTGGGCCTGGGAGAGGAGTTTGGGGATATTCCCTACCAGGCCACAGTTTGCACTGATGAGCACAAGAGACAGGGTTGGGGTGGATCAGGCTAAGCTGGGTAAGCACTAGTCGGCATGTGTGTGGGCTGGGTCTGAGGGCAAGCCAGGCTGGGCCAAGCCTAGCACCCACTGCCTTGCATGGGTGCCACAAGGTATGAGACATGCCAAACTATTATACCACACCTACTCATACATATGAGAGCTAGGCCTGGGGCAGGCCAGGTTGAGTTAGCTAGCAGCACCCATTTAAAAGTTGGTACTTGGAGTCTTTGCAACAAGTATCTGGGTATATGGATGCACTAAGGTAGATTTTGTCAACCTTGGAAAGATTTTCTCAACCCAGAGCAATGAAACCAACATCTGAGAGCTATCAAATCCAGTCAACTAACACTGTTGGAACACTTCTCCACATCATGTTCTCTAACGCATCATCAAATGACCATGCCCAAATATACAGGTGGTGATGTAGTTTGACAGTAAGGAGTGATCCTTTCTCTTTCCATCCCCGTCCTTCCCACCCCACACAACCCCTAGACACACACAGAAAAAGAAAAAAAGTTAAAATATTTATTCTACCGATCTTCCTCCATACCTCAACCCTTCCCACCTTAATCTGAGGCTCACATGGACATACATCCCACTCAAAAATGTGAACAATACTAAAAATAAAATTAAAAATTAAGTAAGTAAATAAATAAATACATAAATAAATAAATAAAATGCAGGGACCCCATTTAAATAAAATTTCAAGAAAAAAACTTATCAAATTATTTTAAGAAATAAAGTGGTATTTTAAGAAAAACAATTTCATTATGGCATTACCCAGGACAGTTACTTTCCTATGCTTTCCTACACTTTATGACAAGTGTTAAAGGGAAATTCTTGGGAAAGCTGAAAAATTCACATACTCCAAAATATTTTTATTTTATTTCTTTATTCCAGAGAAGACATAACAAGAAGGAGAATAGAAATCTATTTTCATATTGAATCCTAATTTTAGAAAATTTTAGTTCTGTTTGCACAGAAGAGCTTATTTCACTAGCATATATAATTTGAAGAAGTTTATTAGCTCTCATAGCCAAGACTGACATTTAAGTCAAGTCTTCCTTGATGCAAAAACAAAAGATGTTTTTGTGTGGACTCAGAGTCTTGCTCCTTTAAGGTAGACCATAAATCTTCTTTATTTTTTCTAAATTTTTCTCATCCAAAAGAGGCTTCCTCTGGCTGCCAGGCTGCAGGAACTTCTTCACGGTGGGGAGGCTGCTGACTCTGGTCTTGAGGGCCTGCAGGGCACAGATCAAAGAAAACAGCACCCGGGCCTAGCGAGGTGGCCTAGTGGCTAAAGTCCTCACCTTGAATGCCACAGGATCCCATATGGGCACCGGTTCTAATTCCAGCAGCTCCACTTCCCATCCGGTTCCCTGCTTGTGGCCTGGAAAAGCAGTCGAGGACAGCCCAAAGCCTTGGGACACTGCACCCGTGTGGGATACCCAGAAGAGGTTCCTGGTTCCTGGCTTTGGATCGGAATAGCATCGGCCGTTGCACTCACTTGGGGAGTGAATTATCGGACACATGATCTTCCTCTCTGTCTCTCCTCCTTTCTGTATATCTGACTTTCCAATAAATAACAAATCTTTAAAAAAAAAAAACAACAAACAAAGAAAACAGCCCCCACCCCATCACTAGCACAGCCCAGGCAGTCTGAGCCCTTCCTGACTCCTTATAGAGAAAACCAACTGGACCCGCTCCATCAGCAACAGCAGGGAGTCTGAGAAAAAGATGCCAAAGAGCATGAAGGTGTTGGGAGGTGAGTACAGCTCAGGGACATTCCACCAAAGACAGGCCATTCAGATGCTCACTCCTTCTTCTCACCAATAAACCCAGTAGATTCACGGCTCCTACCCAAAACAACGGAGACCAACCTATCTGTCAGATATCAATACAGGAAAGTTCCCAAGCAGAGGAATTCAAAATATGAAAAACTGAGTTCAAAATAGAGACAGAAAATGCTACAGGCTCACCTTAGGCCAGTCACAACCAATTTCTATACTGACAGATAACAGCACAGATTATGGGAGCAGAGGGTAATGTGGGGAGCTGTGTGGAAATAGAATCAAAGCTGGAACTGGAAGAAGGAAATCACAGGGAAGGCACCTGCTCACGTGGACTCAAGTGTGGACAAGCAGGACACACTTGGGATGAAGAGCATCAAACCGGTATCAGGAAAGAAGAGCACAGTGTGATAAGGGGTTGGGGAAGAGAGGTTGGGCTCTGGTTCCTTGAATTCATAATAAACAAAATATCACTCCAGTGTTGACTTCCACCTCCAATCTCCTTGGCATACAAAAAATTGTTCATGCTTCAAAGCCACAGCCTGGAAACTCATTTCAGAGAATGGGGGAACAGAAGTGGGTTTCAAGGCTAAGAGAGAGCTGGGTCAAAGAGACCAAATGTCAGATTCCAAGAAGACACATGTGGGGCTGCCCTCCAGGGGCTGTGAGATAGGTCACCTTCAGCAGAGGGAAGCTGGCGATGGCGCTAGGGTCCACCTCCTCCACATTGTAGAGCAGCTCCACCAGGAGAATGTCAGCCTTGCTCAGCCTGTTGCCAACCAGGTAATCTTGCCCATGGCTCTTCAACACCTGGTTAGAGGAATGAGACAAGGCCCTAAGTCTTACTTTGGTGGTAAGCTTTTCCTTTACACTCAATCAATAGTTCATAATTTAATCCAGCATTCTTTTAAGGAGTTTGGATCCTGAAATATTTCACTTTCATATTCAAAGAGAAGCCATAACTGAGACAGGTACTACTCATTCTACTATGAAACTTCATTTCCTTAGTTTGTCTGGCTTTTCTCTAGAGACTGAAACCTGTGGCCCTTTGTCCATGGATTCCTTTCTCCTTCACACCTTCTCATCTAGCTCCTCCCCTCTGTCCCTGCATCATCATCCTTCACTGTGCACACATCACCCAACCCTGCAGTCTACAATATTCCCCTGATGGGCATCTGGCCTCACGTCTCCTTCCACATGATGCCAGAATGTTTGGGGATGTGTTGCTCTCATCACAGATCTCAGAGATCTCATTACAGATCTCAGAGATCTCTGAGATTTCACACCCTATGTTCCAGCCATGACCATGGAATTCTTTTAAAGTTACAGCTGGACATACTTATCCTAAAAATCCATCAGCTGAATATCACTGGATTCTTATTCACACCATGTTTTTATGAAAACATGCCTTGTGAGTCATAATGCTGTATAGGTATTCAGAATTCCCATTAGACACCAAGGTCAATATCCCCAAATGCCCAGGCATGCTTTTCTATCTTCCTTTGAACTGGGTGGTAGAGTAGTGGGAAGAGTTTCCTAACATGCTGAACAGCTTCACATACTTTTTCAAAGGCAGGGAAGTAACGAGTTTTGATTTTCTCTTTGATGAAGTCAACCTTGGCACCTTTCTGATCTGGAGGACACAGTGGCAAAAGCATGACCATCTCATACAAGTCGGCAATGCCCTCTGAGTACATATCAATCCTGAAAGACACAAACAACCAAGCAGTCAAATGCCTCCTGCTTTAGCTTATACTTTAAAACACAGTATAGATAGCAGATGCTCTCCTTCTCTCATTCTGATGCGAATCCCAGGCTCATGTTCTCCAGGTTATAAACTCTCCACATTCTCTCCCTGTTTCTACCCATATGCCTCTGACAAACTCTATTCATGCTTCCATTCTCAACACCCCAGGTTAAATACCTCCTTACTTGGCATAATTCTTTGTTAGTTCCCAGTGCATATGATTGGTGACATGTTTCTTTTATTTTTCCCAAAGTGGGTGTCCTATAATCACATGTAGTAATTGCCCCACCCCTTTAAAATGCATGATAATACATGCAGAGATGGTGAAATAGGTTAAGGACACATTTAAACAGATGGAGAAACATTAGCCAGCATGAAGCTAGAGGGCACATTCCAGAAAACATGAGAGGACAGACTGAAGGCAGAGGGACACCTGGAACCTGACAATTAGGGGAAAGCAGCTGACTGAGCAATGTGATACTGCAGTGACCAGATACCCCAGTTGCAGTCAGCAAGCAGTTAACTGAGCTCCACCGGTGGCCAGAGCTCCACTAACAGCCAGGTGGGAAGGGAAGTTCCCTGGGAGCTCAGCAGGTGAACCCAGGGAAAGAGTTGTCCACCCTCTTGTTTGTTTGTATTCGACCTGGAGCTGAGACAGAGCAGTAGACCCCAAATAGGCTGTATGGAAACGAATGGATTTCAAAGCCCAACACACACCATAGCCACTCAGGTACCATTTTGTGTAGGGAGGCCAAGCTATGAGACAGGACTGCCCATGCCCTAAACTGGGAGTGAACTTATTTCTAGTTCAGAGCATTGCACAAATGTGGAAGCCTACAGATTCCACCCAAAATACATCCAGGTAGTCCTCAGATCTATGGCCAGCAAATCCAGACCTCAACCAGTGGCACATCAGTTGCCATTTAGTACAGGGTGGCAAAGGCTCTGAGACTGCAACGACAGCAGTGAGTTGTACATGTGCTGAGCTAGAAGTGAACTCACTGAACTCAGTGCATTGCACTGGACCCACTTAGAAAATAATATTAACATTGACCATTAAACCTAACAGCTTGCAGATTCTGACAAGATCAGCACCAACAACAACTTAACTACTTATTATGGTGTCTCCCTAATCCTGAGACCTGTTCCAACCAGAAGTGGCAGAAAGGTTGTACAGACAAAGGTACAGACTCAGCATGGGATAATAGAACGAATGATGCAGAAGAAAGAATTACAGAATTGGACTATATTTCCTGTAACAATGGGGAAACAATCAAAAAGCTGGAAGCAGAGCTGGGCCAAGCTAAAAAAGCATTCAAGTCTTAAGAAATTTTTTTTAGATTGTATTTATTATTTTATTGCAAAGTCAGATATACAGAGAGGAGGAGAGACAAAGAGGAAGATTTTCCATTCAATGATTACTCCCCAAGTGACTACAACGGCCGAAGCTGAGCAGATCCAAAGCCAGGAGCCAGGAGCCTCCTCCAATCTCCAACATAGGTGCATGGTTCCAAGACTTTGGACCATCCTAAACTGCTTTCCCAGGCCACAAGCAGGGAACTGGATGGGAAGTAGGGCTACCAGGATTAGAACCTGAGCCATATGGGATCCCAGCTGGGCGGTCAAGGCAAGGACTTTAGCCGCTAGGCTAACATGCCAGGCCCAAGAGCCCCTATTAAAAGAATTATGGGAGTTCCAGAAGGTGAAGAAAAAGAAGCTGAATTTAAAAATATATTCAATGAAATATGAGAGAATCAAGATGGCGGAATACGGTAAGGACACTTTAAACGGATGGAAAAACATTTAATCAGGATGAAGCAAAGAGGACATATTTAAACAAAAATGTACACCATGGTTGCTACTCTTCATTCTCCCTTTCTTCCAGCCCCAAGCAAGCACTAACCTATTTCTATCTCTATGGACTTGAATGTTCTAGACATGCCATTCAAAAACAAAGGTATTCAAACTCTGTCTGGTTCCTTTCATGTGACAAGAAGTTGCATGGTTCATCCTGTTGTAGCATGCCAGTACATCATCCTCGTTCATGGACAAACACTACTCAATAGCAAGATGACTGCACATAGCATTCAGCCCCTTACCCATATTTGGATAGTAGGGCAGCTTTCTATTTTTTGAATGCTATCAATACCACTGCTATATAAATACCAGAGTGGATGCATTTTTGCTGTCTTACAACCTAGTAAGGAAATTATTTGACATGTTGCATGAACCTCCCACAGATCCATACAAGATCTGATTTTGAATCAAGCACTTCCATCTAAACAGGAAGAAGATCTCTCGATACAGGGCAGTACTGAATCACTCTGTCTCCTTTAGCCCTGTGTCCAAAGCTTCAGACAGCCCCAATGTCATCAGCCACCACCAAACCTAGACAAGATGACAACTCCATACAATCAGCTGGTAAATCAGGTCACAATCCTGTTAAGAATCAACTCCTTTTGTAGCCTTCCTTCCCTCCTCCATTCACTCAGACTACTCCCACTTGCCCTGATCCCCTTGCCACAGTACTGCTCACTCAAACCAAGATCTTTATTGTCTGCTGATATGAAAACAGAAAATGTACTTACAGAGCTCTTTCTTTTATATCTTTCCCGTACAGGTTGTGTTTGCTGGCAATGTAGTTGAGAATGGCTCTGGACTGCACCAGCTTCATCCCATCAATCTCAACCATGGGCACTTGCTGGAACATCAATACTCCATCTTTTAAAGGAAGAAAAGAAAAAGGAGAATAATTGTTTACGGACTGTATTATTTGAAGGGAAAAAATTGTTTGTTGAAATGACTGCCAGTATAAAATGAAACTAAAAACATAACCTACTAAAGATTTTAAGTAAAATGACCCTGGTTTTCAGCTTCCTGTAGTACTACTTTTTCCTATCAATCTTCCTTTTATTGCTGAGAAAGTTATGTCAACGATATTTTTATTTCCCATCAAGATACATTCCAGACTCCTTGTATTTCTGTGTTGATTTATGTTTGTGAGTATGCTTTAAAGACTTATTTTTATGGGAAAGTCAGATATACAGAGAGGAGGAGAGAAAAAGGGGAAGATCTTCCACCCATTGATTCACTCCTCAAGTGGCCAGAAAGGCTGGAGCTGCATCAATCTGAAGCCAGGAGCCTCCTCTGGGCCTCCAACATGGATGCAGGGTCACAAGGCTTTGGGCTATCCTCTACTGTTTTCCCAGGCTACACGCAAAGAATTAGATGGGAAGTGGGGCCACCAGGACAATAACCAGAACCCATACTGGATCCCAGCACGCACAAGGTAAGGACTTTGGCTGCTACACTATCGTGCCAGGCCCTTTTCATGGATATTTTAGCGATAAATTGAGAAGGGCTATCATAGCGCCATCAGTGGGAGTCTATTTTAATTGAGAAATTTACAACATACATTGTGTCCTGGACATTAAAGGTAGGTTCTGGAAGTAGTTCCTATGAAATTTTTCCTTTCTGTCCTCCTCTAAGCCTGTGGTATCACTAGGTTATTGCTTTCTCACCAGACAAAAAGGAAATGCATCTACTTCCCCTTCAGCTGAGAAATCCCTGTGTGTGTGTCCTTGGGTTGGGAGAGAAGTGTGAGACCCTTAGATAATTTGAGTTCATTTGTTGTGCAAGAAAACCTGAGACACTGAGGAGAAACAAGCAATGATTCCCTTAGCCGATACTCTGAATGATCCTGGCCCTTTTAGCTCTCAGTTATGGACCTGCTCAAAGAGCCCCCACTCCTTCCATGTAACCACTCTCTCCCCACCATTCCAAACCACCTCTCTTCAAACACACAGGTGTCACCTCATGTTCAAACCTTACACCAGACCATCTCATCCAAGTCACATAGATACTTGTTCTTACCATTTCTTAACTTGCTCAAATCTTCTGCACTTTCTATAAATTTCTCATCAAACTAAGAGGAAAAACAGTAAATGAGTTCTTGTCAGTTCATTCCATCCCATTATAAGCTTCTCAACCCAAAAGACTCCTGTCTGCTGCATAATGTAAGGTAACATTTCCAAATTTGCCAGTACTCAGAGGCGTCTGCTCATGACCATGGTTCACGTCACCTCCACTTTGACCTGCTGTAATCTGTGATCAGGATATGAGTTAGGTAATAGGGAGGTACTGAAGGGAGTGGTTTGGGGAGTTCTTCCAGTTGCAGAGTGGGCATATCTTAATGGAGTTGAGAGAGATCATGGACACATGGACACATGCTAAGGACACATGGGATATGCCCATGCATGGGCATATTGTCTATATCCTACCACCCAAGGGCCTCTGCTGTCATTTATATCCCTCCTTTTCCTTTTAGAGTCTAAATGGTCATGAGTAGGTTGGGAAATTTCCTAACTTGCTTGTGGGACAGTGTTGTCACTCTTGTGATTTCAGAGGATCAGGCTCAAGAGACAGGGAGGTGTGAATACCAGCCATTTACACAGCAGCCAGTTCAGAGGTACATGAGGAATGGGAGGGGGCAGTGGGGATCCCAGGAGGGTGGCTGAGGTGGTATGGGCCAGGTGAGTGTGATGTGGCTCCTGAGGCTGATGGTAAAGGGCTGCATGGGCATAATCAGCCTCTGGGCACAGGAAATCCACAAGCTCTGAGCTAAGGGAATGATCAGAGCTTGTCCACCACCCCTTCCTTCAAGCTGCAATAAAGGCACAGCATCTTAGCCACCCTTTGCAACACTGGCATCGTTACCAGAACTCCAATTAGAACCCTGTCTGATTTGCCTGCAAACCAGCTTGCCACTAATGAGTCTGGAAAACACAGAAGATGGTCACGGTACTTAGCACCTGCCTCCTACGTGGGAGGCCAGGATGGAATTCTAGGCTCTTGGCTTTCCTGGTCCAGTCCTGAATACTGCAGCTTTTGGGTGAATGAACCAGCATAAGAAAGATATCTCTTTTTATTACTCTTTCATTCTCTCCCTCTCTTGTTCTGCTTTTCTCTCCTACTCTCCATTCCCTATATCTATATGTACATATGTATATATACATCATTCTACTTTGAAATAAAAAATTAAATCTTTAAAATAGCACACATATTTGATACAAATTATTTTAACTTAGTGACATGCAATTATCAAACATTGGAAATAAAACATTTTTTATTTAAAATCAAAACTGCTTACACGTTGTGTAGTATGAGATTTCCCAGCTTAGTAAAGTTTCTGATAAAGTCAACGTTTGATCCAATTTAAAATGACATAACTCATTTCCTACCTCTTCTCCAGCAGCAGCCAAGAGCCAGCGGATGGACTCCATCCTGCCTCTTCCGTTGTTGTAGTGAAGCAGGGTCTTTCTTGCCATGTTGTCTCCTGGTTTCTCTAAATACAATGGAATGAATGAATGAAGTCCACAGACAAAATGTACTGCAGTATTATGGCTGAAATGTGACCAGAAATATTGACCAGAGTATTGAGTGTCTACTCTTCCCTGCAGGGGTGGTGGAGTCTTAGGAACATTCTCACTTGTTATCAGACATTATCACAAAATTTCATTGAGCCAATTTCATGTTGCTCTTAGCTTCAGACAGGCTTGGCTCTGGCTGTTATGGCCAGTTGGGGAATGAACCATTAGATGGAAGAGTTTTCTCTCTGTATCTCCTTCTCTCTGTAAATCTCCCTTTCCAATAAAAATAAATAAACCTTTTTTAAAAATCTACATTCTTTTCACCAAAGCACATGATGATTCTCTGCTTCTCCTAGGCTCAATCAGTGGAGCGCATAATCAGCTGCACATTGAGGGTATGGCAGTCTATCAGAACCTGTAGAGGATACCTGGTATCACAAAGGAGGACAGAACAAATCAATCAACGACCATAGCTATATGTTGGCAGGGAAAAACTGGGCAAAAGGAGACTTTAAGGGGGACTATGTCAACCAGCGGTTGGAGTGACGAGACTGGCAGCAACTTATAACTATTGAACTATCAAACCACTTGAGCAAGACACACGGAGCACGCCCCACATCAGGGACTTGGGTTGGCTGAGAGACTGGGTGGGGCTTCTCCCTTTATTTCCTCCTTTACCCCAGATACAGAAAAAAACCAATGTGGAAATAATAGTCTTACCCACTTTTCTGTAGCCCTTGAACCTTTTGCCCTAATTAATTATATAAAGATTGTCAAAAATAAAGAAAAATTTTTTAAAAAATCAGGCAAGAGGGATGTTTCTGAATTGACTTTACAATGAATGATGGAGCCCCCTTGTCCACAAAGCTTTAAGGTGAACTGCAGGAAGATCCCAGTCCTGTACAAGCTGAGCAGGGGTGAGAGAGGCCAGAGCTGAGGCCGTGCAGCCCAAGAGAGGATGTCTCCCAGTCTTCAGGAAGGGGCTCAGCTGGCGGATGGCAAATCCGCATCCTGCTCCTTCTCAGTTGAGAGCATCTTAGGACTTGACCAGAAGAAAGACGTCCTTCCAACAGTGGAGCCCACAGGCCTTGGGCGGACACCTGCAGTTCCTTAAGGAAGGATCCTAACTCATGTCCCAGATTTTCCCAATGGGATATCATTCCCACGCATGGTGGATCACCCAATGCCAGAATAAAGAGTTTTGAAATATGAAAATTACTTTCCAGACTCAGAGAGAGTCTCTTTGAAAAGAGAGTTGAGTTGGTATAGAGGCCGAAGACCAAGGATTGCTTTTACTCAAAATCAGACTGAAGTGTTGAAAGACATCTTTAGAATAAACTGCTACCTTGGTGTTGACATCAGAGAGGATTTAGCTCAAAAATTGGATCTTGAAGAAGACAGAATCCAGATTTGGTTCCAAAATCGGCGTGCAAAGCTGAAAAGGTCCCATAGAGAAACACAGTTTCTAAGGGCAAAAAAATGTTTCAACACAATCTTCTGGAGCAGATAGAAAACTAAATGAGTGACATTATCTTCCAAGTGCACACCATAAAGAACCAATGAGGGGTAGCCTAGTGGCGAAAGTCCTCGCCTTGAACATGCCAGGATCCCATATGGGCACCGATCTAATCCCAGCAGCTCCACTTCCCATCCAGCTCCCTGCTTGTGGCCTGGGAAAGCAGTCGAGGACAGCCCAAGCCTTGGGATCCTGCACCGTGTGGGAGACCTGGAGGAAGTTCCTGGCTCCTGTCTTTGGATCGGTACAGCATCGGCTATTGTGCTCACTTGAGGAATGAATCATTGACAGAAGATCTTCCTCTCTAGCTCTCCTCCTCTCTGCATATCTGACTTTGTAAAAAATAATAAAATAAATCTTTTAAAAAAAAGAACCAATGAAGGGGGAAAAAATCAGCTGTTTAAAATGTGCTTTCTTTTCCTGCATTTAATCGGTATACGTATTTTTTTCTAAAAATATAGTATAAATAATTACTGTTATAGCATGGTACATATTATATTTGGGCACTTTTAGTCATAACAAAGATTTTTCCTATATTTTTAAAATAAACACATTCAGAAAAGCCAGCTATTTTTTAAATGAGCACAGTTACTCTTAGAAAATAATTCACCAAGATCAATAAACTTGTGATGATGCATTCCACCAGCTGGATTCCATTCCCAAACTATTTCAAGCAAAATACTCTGAAGAACAAAAGTGTGGTTTATTTTAACTAGTTCACTTCAAGTTCATTGTGAAACATGATATTGCTTAACTGTGTTACAGATGTGATTTATTTATCAATTTCAGGGTTTCATGATTTATGGCATAAGCAATAATAGTTATTCCACCCAATATAAAATATCCTGATAGCATGCCAATTTCAAGTTGTTGGGTTTTTAGGCCAAGTCACTATGTCAGAGACGTAAAAATAGCAGCTGTCATATTCACCATCGGCACTATGTTGCACAATAGCAGCAAATAAATGCAAAATGTAAGTTAAAAAAAAACAATAGAATGAATGGAAATAACACTTGTTCAGAGCCTGTCACACACTGAACTATCACACAAGTATCTACATTTATTCCAAGACATGGTTGATGACTTCTAATTCCAATGATGCTGTGTTTCTTGCTTGATGACATGCTATGCTTTTTTTTTTTTTTCTTAAAGGCTGGTGATGGTCTACTTCTCTCACCAAGACTTCTAAGTGTCTTGCCTGAGAAATCCTATACTTCAGGGAATCTCAATCAAGGGAGACTTGAGTCCCTGGCTGAAGGGGAAATTAAGCAATGTGTTGAGACATTTTTGGTTGTCACTCTGTGTGAGCGAATAATAGTCTGGTGACATTTGGTAGGGAAGGACAGTGATACCTCTGTATATCCTATAAGGCACAAGATACGATTGTACTCAATGCATCAACTGGTCCCAAAGGGCAGCAGTGCCAAGGGTATGACACCTGGCTTGGCCATTCTCTAGGTTTGCCATGAGTTTGTTGAATCCCAGATAAAGAACAAGATTTGTAATCTAGCTGGTTAGTGACAAAGGATGGATTAGAATCAAGTTCTAGTACACAGACTAACTTATTCCTTTGGCAATAAATCTGAATTTTGAATGTTTCAAATTTATTTGAGATTGCACTGTTATAATTTATAAGAATTCTGTACTATATTGGAGAGAATGAAATGTCAGCATAAATGTTTGGAAAGGAGACAGACATAAGCATGTGTATGTATGTGGAGAGGGGAGGGAGAGAGAGACCGAGAGAAAGGAGGGGGGAGGGGAGGGGAGGGGAGGGGAGGGGAGGGGAGGGGAGGGGAGGGGAGGGAAGGGAAGGGAAGGGAAGGGAAGGGAAGGGAAGGGAAGGGAAGGGAAGGGAAGGGAAGGGAAGGGAAGGGAAGGGAATACACAAGGTGTTTCTTTGGTTAAGTGAGGGAAGAGACCTAGATGACTTAGTGGCATGCCATCATATACATTTACTCATCAGAGTCCCACCCTTACAAGATTATAAAAGTGGTATCATGCCTCGGAATGGTCCTGGCAACATGACACTGCAGGGAGATCTCCTCACCGCTCTTTCACATTCCCCTCTCCCCCATATGTCCCCAGGGAGGATCTCACACCTGTAAAGCCTCTGCCAAGCAACATCCCAGAAGGGGATGGGAAGGTAAAACGGCAGGAAAAAGTTCACCCCATAATCATAAGGAGCCAAGCTTATGCACAGACAGGACATTCCATTTTCTACCAAGCCATCTACCTGGTCTCTCAGGTCAACTGTTTCATTACAGCCCACTGGCTTCTTTAGCTCCAATCTATGTTGCATGTCTGAATTCCTCAGCCATAATGGTAACAAAAATGCCCTGCTTCTCACTCTGGTCATATGTTCAGTTGTCAAGAAAGCTAAGAGCTTTCTCTTCATGCTGCTAATTTTCCTGAGGCCATTACAATCTCATGCCCTAGCATTACTAACTCTTTGTTACTACTTTTCTATAAAGGTGTATCCAAGATACACTGAAGCTGAAATTATTATCTAAGCACAGTAAGAAGGTACAAAGTGAACAAAAATTTTTCCTTTTCCAAGTGTAAGGCATAGCCAGGGTGGGCAATGGATGGCCTGCAAGAAGCAGCAGATAGAAAGGGTGTAATGGATGCTCCACTCAGGCCAACGAACTACAATACCCAGAAAACTCTGCCTGGCTCAGAACTGAGTATGCCATATGCGACTGCCCAGGCCAGCAGGAACCAATCTGAACTCACATTACCACATGAGCAAAAGTTATTTCCCTTGATAGGTCACAACCCACTTCTTCTACCTGCCTATAAAAGCACCAGTTCCTGGTCCCCACATGGGGCTTCCCTGTCGCTTCGTCTGTGCTGGACCCCTGAAAATCCCCCTCAGCGCTCCCAATAAACCTCGTTTTGAGCCAAACTTTTGTTTACTGTAGATATTCTTAATTTGGATTCGATTTGACATTACACTAGCATTTTAAAGTATTTTTTTCTAGTTATACACAGAGAAGAGCAGAACACAACATGGAGAGATTTATGAGATCAGTACTTACACTGCTAATGCCTGTCGCTCTCCTAGTTCCACAACTCAGTCAAGTCTGATGTGTCAATCAGCTATTTATTCATTTGAATAACTCCTTCCCACTAATAAGGGTAGAGTCCAGTGAGGGAAAAACCACACCCACAGTGTTCAAGGATCAGGGGTTACCCATTAGGAATAGAAAGGAAGCAGTGAGTTATTTGTGAGCATTTGTGTGGAAACACCAGATTAATGAGTTACTTCTCAAGGTCAGCAATAGAAGTTTAAGAAAACCATTTTGAATGGACTTTAGTGATCTACAGTCCACTAGGACCGGGCTTGTGAATAAACTCATTGTGATGTTGCCATCAACTGGATGAAGGATTGAGTCTGCACTGTGAGCTCTGCCTATGAACAGCAAGCTGGCAGCCTTCT